TGTCTAATTCCTACATCCTGGACACTGTCCACAGCCTTTTGTGCTCTTGACCTTTTAGAGAGCACAGCCCCAGCCCCTCCCCTCTCCTTGGGTAACTACATTCCCCATTTTGCCAATGCCTAAAATAGCTTTTGGTTGAAAATCAGTAAGGCTTTTGGAGAAGGAGATGGTGAATCAAGAACGTCAGGTAGCACTTGGTTGTCCTGAAGCTCTGCTGTCTGTTAATTTGCTGTCACGGAGCATGCCTTGCTGCCTCCTTTAGTTGGATGTCATGTTAGGTCACTAACTGTCACTAAGATGGCACGGTGGTATAATTGATGTCCACTCACTGGCATTTGCTATTAAATAAAGATTTGGCTTTTTGTAGTTTTCTCAGCATATCAAAAATTACCTTTCCTCTCTTCAGTACATTTGCTATGTTTTATTTTGTAAGCAACATCCCTATTTTTTTCTTTTTTAAGAGACAGAGTCAGGGCAACCCCTTCGGGTCCCCTCCCACTGTGGGAGCTTTTCTGTTCTCCCAATAAATACTACTTTCTCACCAAGAAAAAAAGGAACAAGAATCTTGCTCTGTTGGCCAGGCTGGAGTGCAATCTCGAACTCCTGGGCTTAAGCATTCCTCCTGCCTCAACCTCTCGAGTAGCTGGTATTACAGGTATGTGTCACCACTCCAGGCTAATTTTTTTAGTAGAAATGAGGTCTCATTATGCTGCTGGACTGGACTTGAACTTCTGTGCTCAAGGAATCCTCCCTCCTTGGCCTCCCAAAGTGCTGGGATTATAAGCGTGAACCATGGTGCCCAGCCCTGTTTGTCTCTTTGGAACAGTGTTTGCAATTGGTGCTTCTTTCCAGTGCTGCTTTGAATGGTGCCTAGGATTTTTGGTAAGCACTGAAGTGATGTCGTAGGCTCCATGTTCACATGAATTGTTGTATCGTTCACAATGCACGTTTGAATGGTTACCATACAAGTATTTCTTACTTTGCCTAGAAAGAAATATGTTATCATTTTGTAGAAGGTACATTTCAATTACAGGAAATTCTGTTTTGTTCTTCGGATTCCCTTGGCTTGTGGTCTCGTGGCTTGTCCTTTCCTGACATTTGAGAATAAACTCTCTAGATATCAATCATGCCTTTCTCTGTAGGTACTGTTTCACATCAGAGTTCCTGTTGAGTGTAGGTGACGTGTATAGACACAGGAAAAAGACATACATGGTTCATCTGCCAGGAGCCTGTGGCGATTACTTGCCCTGCAGGAAGTGGCATTCTATCTATGGCCACTTGGAGGCTCACCGGCCCTGGCACCAGCTTCCGAGAGCTCCTTTGTCATTTCAGTGACACAACTGAAACTGGTTTTTAATGTTGGTGAAGTGTAACTGCTGCTTTCCAGAAACGCATGTATTTTGGGGATTGAGAGTCAGTCTGATTGTGGCGGGAGAGTATGACGCATGCACATGTATCTTGGTGGCATTGTTTATTGGTGAGTGTGAGCCGGTGGGAAGGAAATTAGGTTGGAGTCAGAACAGCCTTGGCTAGCCATTTGTCAAGTGTTAAATGATATTTTGGTGCTGCATAGTTGGTCGTTAGCAGTTGCTTATGGTGTCTTCCTTGGATTAAATGTTTTCACCAAGTGCTAATCTGTTGTCGGTGAGATCTCGAAACCAACACGTTTATAAAATTATGTCTGTGCAAAATGGGTGCAGTATAAGAGTTGTAAAGTGATTTCTGTTGTTTCTGTTACAATGTTTTGACTAGAGAAGGTATCTGTATGGCTCAAGAATAAGAATCCAAAAGACAGACACTAAGAAAACTCCCCATCCTTCCAATCCCCCCGCCCGGCCCCCAGTCCCCCACACAGGTGAGCGGGTGTGCTTCTTCTTGTTTGTCTTCCAGTGTCACTCTGTGCAAACACAGATCACCGCACACACTTGCGTTGTATGTCAACACAGATGCATGTGCTGTTCCCCCTCTTTGTACATGTGTGGTCATTGCTCAGCAGCCGTCTGCAGATCCTACATGGCTGCACGGAGAACTATTGCCTGTCTTCCCCAGTGGGTTTTTGTTTTTTGTTTTTTTTGAGTTGGAGTCTCACTCTGTCACCCCGACTGGAGTGTGGTGGCTGCTCCCGGCCACTGCAGCCTCAACCGACTGGGCTCCAGTGATCCTTCTGCCTCAGCCTTCCAAGTAGCTGGAACTACATGCGCATGCTACCATGCCTGGCTAGTTTTTGATTTTATTGTAGAGATGAGGTTTCACCAAGTTGCCCAGGCGGGTCTTGAACCCGCGGGCTCGGGCAACCCACTCACCTCAGCCTCCCAAGTCGCGGGATTACAGGCTGAGCCACCAAGCCTGGCTTCCCAGTGGGTTTTATAATTGGATTGAAGATGATAGAGAAATGGTCGACATGCAGGTGGAATAAAAATACATTTAAAAACTGTAACAAACTTTTTCGAATAATACTTTAAAAATGAAGAATTAAGTGGAAAGAATAACATGGAAACTAATAAGAGAAAAAAGTTCCCCTGGAACATTTTTGGACACCCTGACCATGAGGCTGTTCACAGTTGCCTGATGGGACGATGTAACCTGAAACTGGAAGATGCGTGTGTATTCCCAGCCTGGCAGCCTGGGGTCCTGCTCTATCCTCCACTCCCCCTCCATTGCCAAGATTTTTATTAAATCATTTGAAATTTTAGTTTTCTTACTGGATTGACCAGATTGCTCTTTCTAAAATACTTAAGGCTGGACATGAACTCAAATAACTGCTTAGAAGTGATTTAAGGAGGCAACCCTCTCAGGTCCCTTCTGCTCTGGGAGCTTTCCCATCCTCTCAATAAATCCTGCTTTCAAAAAAAAGTGACTTCAGGCCAGACGCAGTTCATGCCTGTAATCCTAGCACTTTTGGAAGGCCAATGTGGGAGAATTGTTTGAGCCCAGGAGTTCGAGACCAGCCTGAGCAGCATAGCAAGACACTGACTCTACACAAAATAAAAAAAAATTAACTGGGCGTGGTGGCACACACTTGGGTGACAGCGTGAGACCTTGACTCCAAAAAAGAGTGTGATTTAAATGAAATGTTTGTCTTGAGTTTTCCAGGAAGAAAACCTGGCTAAAGAATATATCTAAGAATCCTACAGAACGTTCCAGTCCTCATCTTCATGTGTCTGCCCAACATTCTGAGTTAAAAGACTCCTTTCCTCCCACTCATAGAAGATACAATGGCTGCCTTTCAATGCAGCATTTCTGCTATCGATGTCAACAAAGCAGTCCAACTCTAGTCTGATATTTGCGGCAAACCTCACAGCCATGACATCAATAGTCTTGGGATTTTGCTTTGGCCATCACTCTTATTTCTCTCTCTCTCTTTTTTGAGTCGGGGTCTCACTCTGTCGTCCAGGCTGGAGTGTAGTGGCTCACGGCTCACAGCAGCCTCGAACTCCTGGCCTCAGGTGATCCTCCTCAGCTTCCCATGTAGCTGGGATTACAGGCACGTGCCACCATGCCTGGCTAATTTTTTTACTTTTGTAGAGACAAGGTCTCACCATTTTGCCCAGGCTGGTCTTGAACTCCTGAGCTTAAGCGATCTTCCCACGGTGCTGGGATTGCAGGCAGGAGCCACCATGCCCAGAGCCTTAGTGAATTTAATAAAAGCTTTTCCCTAATGTTGGAGATGCCAAGGTCTCAGCTCACAGTGTGAAAGTATTTCAGATGATCATTTCTAAATCATTTTGAGACTGTTTATTTTCTCTGTTAGCATCCATGCATAATTTCTTTCTGGACTTTTGCAAGAATATGTAATACCATGTGAAGACATTTTTGTTCTTAATGTATATTTACTGTTTTGGTAGATATTGAACCTTCCAGAAATGTTTTCCCCTCTGCATTTTATCAGCAGGGTATGAGAGTTAGTCACTTGTTTATTCACATTTATAATAATAATGGGTATTATCCAGTTATATAATGTTTAGTTACTGATTGTTTTTGAATCACATGCTTGCAAGTTTCCCTGCAAGTTACGAGACTAGGTTCCATTAGAACAGAGGAAACACTGCTGGGCTCAGCCTGTCATCCCAGCACTTTGGGAGGCCGAGGTGAGTGATTGCCTGAGCCTGTGGGTTCGAGACCAGCCCGGGCAATGTGATGAGACCTCATCTCTACAGTAAATCAAAAATTAGCCTGGTGGGGTAGCGTGCTCCTATAGTTCTGGCTACTTGGAAGGTTGAGGTGGAAGGATCGCCAGAGCCCAGCAGGTCGACGCTGGGGTGGCCATGAGCCATGAGCTCCAACTTGGGTGACGGAGTGAGACTCCATCTCAAAAAAAAAAAAGACAGAGGAACCACAACTCTGCTTGTCATTTTTATCCTTGACACTGATTTGTGCATGGCTTTTAGTAGGTAATTATTAAATGAATGAATGAATGAATGAATGATTCTTTATCATGGAAATATAGATGTGTTAATTCTGGTCAGTGGCTTATTTCTTGAAGCTCCAGCCAGAAGGTAGACACTTGGCAAAGTCCTGTCCGTGCAGTTTAACTGGAAGTCACGCTCAGAATTCTGTGAAATTAGAGCCTACCAGGGCTGTGTCTAAGAATTCTATGTGTATCTGTGTGTCAGGCATTTTTAAAATAGAAAATTACGTAGATCTTTTAAAAACTAATTCATCAGGACCATTCACATTTTCCTCTTTCTATTGGAACCACACCGTCTGCTGTTCTTTGCATGTTTGGCGGAGGGCACTGCCTGGGGAGGGGGACGTGAATCGGCAGAAAGGCCGCGGAACAACTGGCGGTGTGTGAGCCTGCCAGCGGGACTTGTTTCAGAATAAGCCTCATCAGCTTCATGGTGTTCTTTGGCAACTAATCGGAAAGGGGAAGTCGTTGTGCTTTCTGTTTTGTGATTGGGAACCTCAGTGTGTTTACCTGAGCAAGGGTCTCGGGGCCTCTGGCCCAAAGGGTTCACAGGATTGTGAAGATGCACAGCGCTTCCCAAGGCTGCGTGTTCTGTGTCTTTTATGTGACCACAACTCTCTTGTTTTTTTCAGTATATTTTTGGAGATTTTAGCCCCGACGAGTTTAACCAGTTCTTTGTGACTCCTCGCTCTTCAGTCGAGGTAAGGCGAAGCTGCTTGGGTGAGTAGTCTCCTGTACCGCTCCTGACATGTGCCTAACAAAGAGTTCCCGCAGGCAAGTGCGGAGACCCGGAGGAGGGTGCCCAGCCCCCGGCTCTGTTCGACTGCCACCAGCTTAAAGCAGGGCAGCATTCCAGGCGTAGCTGCTGCCCTCCTCCCTCTCCCCTCTCCCCTTGCCTCCCCTCCCTGAAGTATTGCTCGGAACCTGGAACCTCCCCTTTTCTCCTGGTGCGTGGCTGTCGCCAGAGAGCCGGTTGTCGAGTTGTATGCGCTCTGAGATGTCCCGCAAGTGGTGTACTGTGCTCATCATTTTGCTGATGACTTTAAGCTAACGTTATGTCATTTGTCTATGCTGACACATTTGCTTTTGTTTTTTGCTTAAATTCCTCGATGCCCTTGATCTACAATTTATTTACTTGTTTTCTTACTGAGGCCCATTTAGGTCTCGAGTTCAACTGTTGAATAATACTGTGATCAGCATTTTGTCGTGGCTCCTCATGCTCCTCTGGGTTTCTGCGGGATGGAGGTCTGGGGAGGAACTGCTGTGTTCTGCAGACACTGACATCTTCAGTTTCACTGGAGGCAGCCAGTTTGCTCTGAGGGGCTTCACTCTGTGCATTCCCAGCACAGTGTGTGAGAGTTTCTTGCTCACATTTAAAAAAAATCCTTGCTAATTCTCAGTATTGGTGTACTTAAAATGTGGGCTAATCCGATAGGTAGTAAATGGATTCTTGTTTCAGTTTCCGTCTCCCAGGTTTCAAACAGTTGAGCACTGTTTCATTTTTTCACTTGTCTACTGGCAATGTAGGTTTCCTTTTCTGTGAATTACCTGATGTATATCCCTTGTCTGTGTTTTTGAATCAAGTAGCTTGTCTTTTACTTACTGATTTTAGGATTGATAATCTTTGGTTGTACAGATATCTCTTCTTAGTATGAGCGCTTTTAAACCTCACACATTATGCATCTTTTTGTTTTTTTGTTTTTATTTTTTTGTTGGGTAAAGAGAGAGAGAGTGTGTATGTGTGTGTGTGTGTGTCTGTGTGTGTGTGTATTTTTGTTTGTTTGTTTTTGAGTTGGAGTCTCACTCTGTCACCCAGACTGGAGTGCAGTGGCCGCTCCTGGTTGGGCTCCGGCGATCCTTCTGCCTCAGCCTTCCAAGTAGCCGGAACTACAGGCACGCGCTACCACGCCCGGCTAATTTTTGACTTATTGTAGAGATGAGGTCTCTCCAAGTTGCCCAGACGTGTCTCGAACCCGCGGGCGCAGGCAATCCACTCACCTCAGCTTCCCAAAGTGCTGGGATTACAGGCTGAGCCACTGAGCCCGGCTTTTTTTTTTTTGAGTCAGAGTCTCACTCTGTCACCCAAGCTGGATTGCAGTGGCATGCTCACGGCCACCGCAGCGTCGACTTCTGGGCTCAGGGTGATCTTTCCACCCCAGTTTTCCAAGTAGCTGGGACTACAGGCACGCCCCACCATGCATGCGAATTTTTTGACTTATCGTAGAGACCAAGTTGCCCAGCCAACTTGCCCAGGCGGGTCTCAAACCCTGGGCTCAGGTCGTCTTCCTGCCCCCATCTCCCACAGTGCTAGGGTTGCAAGTGTGAGCGCCTGGCCATGGGGAGGACGTCTTCAATTTGTATGTCAAGTGAATTGAGTTTTTTAACCCGATAGGGTTGTGGATTTTTAGTTTTTAAAAATATCTGTAGAAAACTCTTCCCTCTAAGGTCATGAAGACATTTGTCTGTTTTCCAAAAGTTTCAAAGTTTTCTCTCCATATTTGAGTGTGTAATATGGCTGGGATTGGGCATTGATCTCTGTGTGTGTGTGAGGCGGGAGGCTGACTTGGCCCCTGGCACTGGCAGTCCTCAGCACCGTGCACTGAGAGCACTGCCAGGCATGCCTCTCCTCGTACTCAGGCATTTCGTGCCTCGTTCCGCAGCCTCCTGCCCGTCCTTATTCAGCACACGCTTTAATTGCTACAGCCTTTTCAAGTGCACACACGGGGCGGGGGGTGCCTTCTTGCAAGTAAGTATTCAAATAAACAGGTTTTCAGGTGATATGAAAGGGAAAATGCTCAGTATTTCAAACCTACAGACCTACTCTGCCACTTACACAGAATCGGTGGCCTCGGATAGTGGCCTGTATCTCTTACCTCCCTGTGACTTCCTCTCCCTTTTGTTTTTCAATTTGAAACAATGGAGATGCCTGTTTACTTCCCAGAAATGTTGAGAGTCGCCTAAAGTGTGGCCTGGCGCCTAGTGCCCCAAGTGTTAGCAGCAGTGGGTGGAGGCGTGCCGATGGTGAGTCACGCCAAACCTTCTCTTGCAGGAGTGATGGTGTGTCCATCAAAATGAATGCTAGCGTCAGAAATCTCAGGGCTTGATGTCTGGGCTTGTTTGGGGTCTTCTGTTTTTTCTTTTGTTTTTGAGCATGCATTGGAGTTGGGGTCGAGGCATGACAAAATCACAGTAACTAACAAAAGGGAAACCCAGGCTAACTGACTGATGGTATTGAATTGAGTTATTTTCCCCAGTAGTCGGGTCTGAATCATAACACTGTGTAATTACACAGGACACTGAGTGTTTCCTGGGGGCATGCACAGCTGGCTTGAGGGTGTGAGCAATGGGCCCTCACTTCCACTGTTAGTAGTTTGGCTTTTTATCTCTCAGTTAGTCACTGTAGTACATGGGCGTGCTCCCACCTGTGCCGTGGCATCCATGGCAGTCCGGTCAGATTCTTCATTTACTTTTTTCATCTGTTAGGATTTTTTTTTTGAGTTGGAGTCTCACTCTGTCGCCCAGACTGGAGTGCAGTGGCCACTCCCGGCCACCGCAGCCTCGACCTGCCGAGCTCTGGCGATCCTTCCGCCTCAGCCTTCCGAGTAGCTGGGACTACAGGCACGCGCTACCACACCTGGCTCATTTTTTTTGATTTGTTGTAGAGATGAGATCTCGCCAAGTTGCCCAGGCGGGTCACGAACCCGCGGGCTCAGGCAGTCCACTTATCTCAGCCTCCCCAAGTGAGGAATTACAGGCTGAGCCACTGAGCACGGCTTGTTAGGATCTTGATGAAATATTTCTTTACTTCAGGCCAAGAACTGAAAACCCAAATTAAGAAATATAGGGTGTTGAAATGTAAATGGATTCTGCCTCCCTACAAAAGCATCACTCCTCTCAGCTGAAAGCTTTTGGACTTTTAGTTGACTTGTTTGAGAGTTCACTACTGGCAAGATAAGGTGACCAGTAGTTTAACAGAATCGGGAGAAACTTTCAGGTGGTTTTTGTATGTGATCAGAAGTATGAGTATTAGTTTTTTAAAGGTAGCTAGTATCTTTTCCAAAACTATGCTCTGGTTTATAAGCCAAGGTGATTTAAAAATGAATTTTTCCAATGGAAAATGTACAGACAACTTATTTAATATGTATGTTTGATCCCAGTTATAGTCATGTTACAGATGTTCAGAAATAAGGAGGAAGTGCTCATTTTTCTTAAAAATTAAAAAATCTCAGTATTGGAGGTATGTACACACCTCAGTCAGTAAGTCCACAGCCCACAGTAATGTGGTGCGGGCTGTGGGCATAGGTGTGTGGTGTGAGAGTGTGTGTCAATGCTGATAAGGCAGAGTTAAGACAGTTCTCAGTTTGGAGTCTTCCTGGGATTTCACAGGAGGGCTTCATGGTTCACGGGGTCTTTTATTTTTTATTTTATTTTATTTTATTTTATTTTTTTGAGTTGGAGTCTCACTCTGCCGCCCAGACTGGAATGCAGTGGCCACTCCCGGCTACCACAGCCTCGACCTGCTGGGCTCTGGCGATCCTTCCACCTCAGCCTTCCAAGTAGCCAGAATTATAGGAATGCAATACCATGCCCGGCTGATATTTTGATTTCTTGTAGAGATGAGGTCTCGCTGCCCAGGCGGGTCTCGAACCCGCGGGCTCAGGCAATCCACTCACCTCGGCCTCCCAAAGGCGCGGTATGACAGGCTGAGCCACCGAGCCTGGCTTCACGGGGTGTTTTAGATGAAGAACAGGATGCAGTGGGAGCCCTGGAAGGGAGCATCAGATCATGACTTCTTCTCAGCCATGGGGCCAGGCTGCTGCCTTCGCGTGGCGGCAGTGCTGTTCTCAGACCTTGGGTCGGACATAACTGGGTTCCAGTGGTTTGCATTGCTTGGTGGCATGTGTGAGGGATTGTGTGTTTTGCTTCGCTTTTGATACTTTGTACTCTTAGAAATGGCTGTGCAGTGAGCCAGTGAGCTTTGGGCCATCACCACACTTGGATTCTGAAGTGCATTCACCTATCCAGTTAAGCCAGACTGGAGGAGCTTAGGGGCAGCAGGTGTTTGTCGGATGAGAGGCACTGCCAACCTGAAGAGTGAGAGAGAGGCGTACACAACCAGCCCCTGCCCCCACCGTGCTCACCAGCCTATGGGCAGGCCCCAGCCCTGCTCTTACCGGGTGCAGGCCAGAGACAGCCTGGAGCACACTCCTGGAATGGGGCAGAAGCGCCCTGATGTCTGTATTGGAACCCCGCTGGATGGATGGCCATCCCTGTGGCCAGGGAACAGTCAGCCTGGGCTCCTCATAGCTCAGCTACTCCTTAGGGTCACTGGTCTAGTCTCTCTGCCCTCAGCTGGTGCTCCCTGGGATCACGGATCTAGTTTCTCCATCCTGAATCGGTGCTCCCTAGGTCACTGATTCAGTTCTCCATTTGCCTGGCCTCACTGTAGCCCGCTAGTTCCCCTGTGTGACGGGTTGGGAGTGAGGTGAGGAGGTTTCGTGCCCATAGGGTTATCTGGGAGGAGGCCACTGGGTGCAGGGCGACTGTTCTGAGGGCTCTCCGCTTGGACATTGTTTGCAGTGGATGGTGCTGCGGTCCCTTCTCATGTTGGGGGCATCTCCAGCCTGCTGTGCTGTCTCAGGTTGCGTTTTCTCTTCTCTACATGCAGCAGAAGTGAATATGTGGGATTATGAAACTGTTTGCTTTGACTCAGTAAAAGATGGTGTCCTGGTGTTACAGTGTATTATGCAAATACAGGCTCGTTCAACACACTTTCATTCCTCAACATAGTACAGCTCCCCGTCACCAGGGGGCATCCCAGTGTCGTTAACAGAGGAGAAGGCACACTAGCTTCCAAACTGCCTTGTGACTGCAGAGGCTCATGGAGACTTGGCTTCCACTGACACTTACAGCCTCTGTGCCCATGGCCTCCCAACCACCTTCTTGCTCCGGATGTGTGCCAGCATCAACGCTAGTGTATGGAGTGGGCTGGTCCTGCCCTGTGCTGTAGTCCATTCAGCTCACTACCGTGATGTGTGCCAGGTGCCCGGGTGGTGTCTGGATGTGCCACCCGCGAGTCTTAAAGGTGCAGCGTTCCTTCTGCATCGACCTGAGTTTTCTCAGCCTCCTAATCGTCAACCTTCTCTGGGGAGAGAACTCACTGGGTTAGTGGTGAGACACGCTTTTACCTCTGGGACTACCGGATTGCCATGCTCAGAGGCCACGGGAGAAATCAGCCAAGGAAGCGGCTCAAACAGCAGCTCTGGGGTGGTGGTGGGCGTGCATCACCTGGGAGCCTCCGACGGTAGCCACCCAGGCCCTGCAGGCCCCAGCTGTTGCCCTGTGGCTAGCGGATGTGGCGGAGCACTCGCCAGGAGCATTCGCCAGAGTGTCGTTGCCTCGTTCTTTTGTAGTGCCTTTAGGTGGCGCTGTCTGTGCCCTTGCCTCACTCCTCCCTTCCCAAACTTCTCCCAGGTGTGTCCATGGGCAGCTTGTCCAACCCTGAAATGCCAGGAGGAAGGAGAGCACTCCGTTCAGAGTGCCTTTCTGCGTCTCACCAAGAGTTCGACCTTGCTGGCTGGCTTTCTCTCTTCCAACACAGGGTGGCCTCCAGCCGCTGGCTCCGCGTTCAGGACGTGTGAGGCCAGGGAGGCCTGGCACCCAGGTTTCTCTCTGGTGGGCCTCCCTCTGCTCTTTGGCCACAGACCTGGGCCTGGCCTCTCCTGCCTGTGCTGTGGCGTGGCCATCATGGCCACGTGGTGCAGATCAGCAAGAGCCATTGCTAGTGGACAAAGAAAAGCATCTGTGGTCTTGATGACAAGTCGCCGACGTCCTGTGACAAGGGTTGTAGCGCACACATTTATGTGACTGCATGTCCATCTGCGTACTTTGTGATCTTTTGGCCTCATTTTTGAATCTAACAGTGATAAATGTTGGCAGCATTCATTCAGTGGTTTTCCTTCACTTCAATGAAGATGGTCGAGATGTTTACTGACTTTCCACGTGTGTTACTCTGCCAAAGTCATGTTGTGAGAGAAGTTGCATGAATAAGGAGCCTCAGAGAAGTGTCACCCTAAGAAAATGGCATGCGTTGGGTTTTACCATGTTGAATTAATTTGTTTTCCGGTTCCTCCCGCAGCTTCCTCCTTACAGTGGAACAGTTCTGTGTGGCACACAGGCTGCGGAGAAACTCCCTGATGGTAAGCTGCTCGCTCCTTTTTCCCTGGGGTGGGTGCTGGACATATGCCTGGTGGGCAGGCTCCCTGCCCACATTGTGTTCCCGTTTGTTCCTGCTTTCTGAGTAAACATTTCCTCACAGCTTGAGGTTTGCTGTAAACTGTGCTGTATCTAATCACTGACATGCTCTGACTAAGGAATTGGTTTTAAAGCTTATCCTGTGCTCCAGACTGCCAGCCATCTAAGGTGTAGCTCAGGAGATGGTTGTTAGAACTCTTTTTTTGAACAGCTCTCAGTGCAGCAGTCACGTCGCTCTGTCCCCCGTGCCAGCACTGTGTTGCCCCATGGCGGAGCACAGTGTCAGCAGGTTTCTGAGCATGTGTTCTGTGTACAGCCAGGGGCAGCACGGAGCTGCTATTCTTGCAGTTGACATTTGTGTCCCGGCCTGTCACTGGCTCTTGGGAGCGCAGATCACCCTTTCCTTCCTGGTCTGACACTGATTTTGGTCTCCGACCAGACCTTGATCTGGTGACCAGAGACAGTCGGGTCAAAGTGCAGCAATTTTGCACTGTGAACACGCCCACTGCTGGAACACCAGCAGGCTTGCTGAATTGTCACAGGCTTCCCTTGCTCATTGCAAAGCCGCCTAGACCATTTTTCAGTTTGGATCATGTGAAAGGCTCTCGCCAGCCTTCGAGAAGTGGAAGCCACACATTTTCTTAGAGAGCTGGGATTTGAGTTTTCTGTTTAGTCAGCATGGTCAGATTTATAAAAGTTTTAGTTAGCTGGGCTCGGTGGCTCAGCCTGTCATCCCATGCCTTTGGGAGGCTGAGATGAGTGGATTGCCTGAGCCCGCGGGTTCGAGACCCGCCTGGGCAGTGAGACCTCATCTCTACAATAAATAAAAAATCAGCCGGGCGTGGTAGCGCATGCCTGTAATTCCGGCTACTTGGAAGGCTGAGGCGGAAGGATCATCGGAGCCCAGCAGGCGAGGCTGTGGTGGCCGGGAGCGGCCACTGCACTCCAGTCTGGGCGACAGAGTGAGACTCCAACTCAAAAAAAAAAAAGTTTTAGTTACAGTGTAGGTTTACATATAAACCGTGTAAAGACTGACCAAACGTTTTGTCTGTAACATCAGATAGCGATTATATCCAAAATGACGAGCAGGTTTATAGAAACAGTGAAACAGGAGGCCATAAGGGCATGAGCAGATCTCGCAGCGCTCAGGACAAGTGAGGAAATGAACGGAACTCCGGGGTCTCCACCAGGCTGCGCTGCCTCCCGGGCCTCCTCACCGTGGTTGTCTTAGCCTCCCAGCACCCTGAGCCCATGGGTGTCTGGTGGTGCGGACACCTCCTCCAGGTGGGGCGCGCACACCTCCTCTGGGTGGTGTGGGTGCTTCCTCTGGGTGGGGCATAGGCACCTCCAGCTCCGCCCAGCATCCAGTTCTGCTCCCTGCCTCCCACTTGCCCCCTCCTTCCAACTGCGGACCCTCTGCATTAGCTGCTTCCTGGCTCACTCTCTCTTTCCATCCTCTGTTCCTTGACCTCAAAGTCCATCTCGCCACCTGCCTGCGCATTGTGACAGGCCCGTGGAGAGGCCCCCTTTCTTGAAGCTTTCTTGTTCTGTTTCCCTTGAGTGCCTGTCCCACTGAGCAGTGTTTGTTGGCTCTGTCAAGGTTTGCCTCCACCTGTAGACAGCATGTCTATCAGCTGCACACATAGTGTCTCAAGTGTCATTTGCCCTCTGTGTGTTTATTGAATGAATGAGTGACGTAGAATGCTTTGATTTGCTGCACCACAGCCAGCTGCAGTAAGAATTTATGGGCACTCATCCCACATTCACTTGGATGCCTCTGCTTTCTCGATGGTTCCTGAAACTCAAGGTGTCCTATTCCACAACCCCCGCCCGTTATCCTTCACGTTCCACCAACCTCACAGTGGCTTCTGTTTGAAATTGATCAGTGTCCTGTGTCCAAAACTCCTTTTTTATAAAGGCAATCACAGCCCCATCTCACCCTCCACATCATTATCCTCAGTCGTATTTGTCTCCTGGTAAATGTAAACTCTCTGAGCAGGCCTTGCCTTTCCAACCTCTGTATCCCCCTGGGATACCCCTGGCTCCTCCCCACCCTGCATCCCAGGCCACTGTACTGCATGCACCCCCATGAGCAGCCCACGAAAAAGGGTGACCTTGTCTTATTTGAGTGGATTCTCCTTGCTCCAACAAGCCCACTGTCTGCATGACCTGAACGTTGAGTTTCCATCTTCCCTGTGCATTGATTGTGTGGTTTAGGCTAAGTTCCTGGCCTTCCCCACTCCTCCAGCCTGGCAGATTGGGCTCGGGGCTGTTGCCATGCAGTGCAGGGCATATGTCCATGGCCAGCATGCCTGGGTGGGAAGAGGGCCTGCTCCGGCCGGGGTGCGCCCCCACCCCCCAGTGATGTGACCATGCACACTCTGTAGAGATGTTTTGATAACAGCCAGAGCATGTCAGAATGGCTCCGTTCATGGCACATCTCATTCCAGAACGCTTCATGTTCTGATAAGATTGGGAGTCGAGATGTGTGTCTGCTGGAGTCACCAGTCTTGCATCAGCTGTGGGACGTGACTGTTAGTGCTGTGTCCCTGAGTGCGCCATGGTCCGTGGAGGGAGGTGCTCGCTTCTGCAGGCACTTTGAGATAGCAGGGCACAACCAAGGCCTGGAAGCAAGTTGCGGACAGAAAAGTCATTGTGGGCAAAGGAGTCAGGTTGTTCTGGCCTCATATAGGACCTTGCTGTTAGGCATGCCCGTCATCAGTGTCTCTACCAGGGACTTGCTATGGCTGGGGGTGGGATTTACCCCCCAACCCCCTCCAGGGGTTGCTCCTAAACAAGCCAAGACTCTGGAGGCCTTTGAGACCCCTGCCCTCCCCCTCCCACTGGCTGCATGATTGGCCTCTCTCTAGACCTGTAATTTTTTTTCTTTTACAGAAAGAATGACAAGGGTCCTTCCAAGGAAAAACACATTGAGTTCTCTGAAGTACACCATTCTTTGGGTGTTATGTTTCTTTTCTTGAAATGCATACCTTGAAAATAAAATTGGCCCCTTATGCTAGACTTGAAGAAATCTTCAGTTATGCATTAAAAATGAATAAGGCATATGTCATTTCCTTAGCTTTAAAATTTATAACCTTTTCATCAAATATAAGATGACATTGATAGGGCAAAGTGTCTCACGCTTGTAATCCCACACTTTGGGAGCTGAGGAGAAGGATTACTTGAGCCCGGGAGTTAGAGACCTGCCTGGGAAACATAGCCAGACCTCATTTCTACAGAAAAAAAAAAAAGACAAGCATGGTAGCTGAAGTGGAAGGATCACCTGAACCCAGGAGGTCGAGGCTGCTATGAGCTATGATTGTGCTACTGCATTTCATCCTGAGCGACAGAGTGAGACCCTGACTCAAAAAAAAAAAAAAAAAAAAAGTAAAGAAAAGATGACATTGATGCTCAATGTCTGTTGAAAGACAGATTGATGTAATACTCAATCTAGTTTCAGAGATGTGAACTCTGATAAAACATATATCTTAGTGTGAATGGGATATTTAGATTATGGTTAACTGGGAGAAAGTATTGGAAGCTTCCAAAATTTCAAAGTTCACTGTTCTAACTTTATCTTTCTGTATTTTGGGGAGTACATTCATCACTTGTGGAGTTAATTCAGTGTGAATTCATTTAAAGAGCATTAACATGTGTTCATGTAAGGACCATTTTTCACACTTCCGTTAAGGTTACCAGCAGAGGAGACCAAGAGATAGATTATTTGAAAGCGTAGTTCTGAACAGCATTTTTATTTATAGGATTCTTTGTTTAATTAATGTTTTGGGAACTATTAAGTCACAGCCCCTAAATTAGTCCTTAAAATTTTTTTTAAATTAAGTTGTCCAAAATACATGTTTCCTTTTCTCGGGCATAAAGAATGCTGTAATAGAGTCAGATTTGATTGATGGGTATTTTTAAACTGGCACAGTATTTACTTTTTATTAAAAATTCTTTCAGATTTCTACCTCCTGAAACCCTTCCTTAACTAGGAGGATAATACAGCCTTCTGCTTTTCATATTCCCAAATTAAATATAATTTTATAGCTATTTATTCAGCACAGAAATATGTCATAGCTTTGTTAATTAGGAAGAGAATTTAAGGTTTTACTTTTCCAAAAGAATGTGATAATTATTGGTGCTTTTCTAGTTGGTGGAGCTGTATTCTTAACTGATCGTTCCTTTGTCCACAGGACACGAGTATCAGAGAATCGAGTTCGGTGTGAATGAAGTCTTGGAACCTGGTGACACTTTGCCAGGAAACCCCGGCTACAGTATTTCAAGCACATTGAACCCTCAGGCCCCTGAGTTTATTCTCAGCTGTACGACTTCCAAAACAACCGCTGAGGGTGTGGATAAGGACACAGGCTATGGCTCCATCGACTGCCAGTATCCAGGTTCTGCCCTCGCCCTGGACGGCAGCTCTCATGCGGAGGCAGAAGTTCTGGAGAACGATGGTGTCTCAGGTGGTCTTGGACAGAGGGAGCGTAAAAAGAAGAAAAAACGACCACCTGGCTATTACAGTTACTTGAAGGATGGTGGCGATGATGGCATTTCCACAGAAGCCCTGGTCAACGGCCATGCCAGCTCAGCAGTTCTGAACAGCACTGGCTCAGAGGACGCAGAGTTCATGGGTGACATGCCCCCGTCGGTTACGCCCAGGACTTGCAACAGCCCCCAGAACTCCACAGACTCCGTCAGTGACACTGCACCTGACGGTCCTTTCCCTGGAGCACTCGGTGGGGACTCCAGGACTGCAGGGCAGCCCGAGGGGGACCCTGGGGCTCACTGTGTTCAGTCCTGCTTCCCTGCAGAGGCTGGCAGGGACACCCTGTTGAGGACAGCTGGGGCTCAGCCCTACGTTGGTACCGATACTACTGAAAGCCTTGGGGTTGCTAACGGGCAGGTACTTGACTCCTCAGGTGAGGGCACAGCCACCAACGGGGTGGAGTTGCCCGCCACGGAGAGCATAGACTTAGACCCCGCTAAGCCCGAGAGTGCGGTACCTCCCGCTGACGGCATGGTCTCCATGGCAGGCGCCCTTCCTGCCAGCCAGCCCAAGTCCTGGGCCAGTCTCTTTCATGATTCTAAGCCCTGTCCCTCCTCGCCTGTGGCCTATGTGGAAACTAAGTATTCCCCTCCTGCCACATCTCCCCTGGTCTCTGAGAAGCAGGCGGAAGTCAAAGAGGGGCTTGTTCCGGTTTCAGAGGATCCTGTAGCCATAAAGATCGCAGGTACAGTGAAAGATGCACAGCCGTTGTGCAAGTGGGAGCCGGTCAGCCGCTGGGTGGGCAATAAGGCCACCTGGGCTTGTAAGCTGTGGTGGCCGTTGGTTACTTGTATTTGTAGAGACTTCTGCAGAATGCCTGTGTCTTGAATGCTGCCTAAAAGTGAGAGAACATAGAAACAAAATGGGTGGGTGGAGGGGTCATACCTTGCCACGTAGTGAGAAGTTGCTCTCTGTTAGCAGTTCTTTTCTGTTGACACATCGCGTTTCCATGTCTTGCCTTTTGATCAAGTACTTCAGCTCTGCAGTGTCACTCCGTATCCTGGGAGCGTGTGTTCCTCGGGCACAGCTCGCCCTGATTTGTTCTCAGTGTGCACTTTCTCCCTTAGACTCCTTGGGCTAGAAGAAAGCATTTTGTGACTAACATGGGTTTTCTTATGTCTGTTTTGGATTGAGTAGATGGATATTTTTTCAGTTTTGATACATCAAGTTCAGCTCTTTTTTTTTTTTTTAATCTGGGGTCTCACTCCATCGCCTAGGCTGGAGTGCAGTGGCTTTTCTGCCTCAGCCTTCCAAGTAACCGGAACTACAGGCATGTGCTATCACGCCCAGCTAATTTTTTGATTTACTGTAGAGATGAGGTCTTGCCAAATTGCCCAGGCCATTTTCGAGCCTGTGGGCTCAGGCAATCTGCTTACCTCAGCCTCCCAAAGTGCTGGGATTACAGGCTTGAGCCACCGCGCATGGCCAAGGTTAGCTCTTGACAGGAAAATAAAGAGTTTGAGTCTGGCCCAAAGTTGGTATTGTGTTTTAAAGTGCTGAGGCCCTAACGTAGGAGCAGTTCATGATAAAAGTGTGAAGCTGCCTAATTCACGGGTCATCTTTTCAGTAGGAAGTCAGAGGTACAGAGGAGCATGTGTGCTTACACAGCCAGGTATCACTTAGCAGTGGGACATGTTTTGAGAAACATGTCGTTAGGGGATGTTGTTGTCATCATGGACCATCATGGCGTGAACCGACACAAACCTGGGTGGGGTAGCGCACCGCACACCTGGGCGGTCTGGTGTGGTCTGTTGCTCCTGGGCTACAGGCCTGTCCAGCACGCATCTGTCCGGAAAGCCGCAGGCAGTGGTTGCACAGGTGTCAGGGCTTGTGTGTCTAAGCGGATCTAAATGTAGAAAAGGTGCAGTGCAGATGCAGGTGAAAAAAGACCTGGCCCACCTATGTAGGCGTCCTGTGACTGAGGCTGCAGGCGAATGGTGCCTGGGTGGGTCAGCGAGCACTGGTGAGCAAGCCAAGGCCCCGGGGGAGACCACGCCGCTGGGACTGAGTGCTCTGCACTCGGGCTTTGCCTGCAACATGTATGGAAACGTTGCTCGGCATTGGTGAGAAGTCAACCCGAGCTTCTGGAATGTTTTTACTTTATGAACTTCAAAGACTTTTTAAAGCTTTTGAAGAATTTCAAAGCTTAAAATACAACTGTGTACAGCTGCACAAAGATATTTTCTTCCTTTATATCCTTACTCTATAAAGTTTTTTCTATTTAAAACCTTTTTTTTTACTCTCTAAACTTTTTTTGAGCAAAAAATAAGACACACCCAGGGCGTCTTGATGATCCTGTGTGGGGCCAGGATCATCAAGACGCCATTAGGCAACAGGACATCTTCAGCTACATTATAATCTTCGGGGCCACCGGCAGATACACGGGCCGCTGTCAACGAGGCGTTGGTGAGTTGGTGTGTGGCACGTGACTGTACAGGTCTAAGAAGCAGAGGCTCTTTCTTCGGGTTTGCTTCTACCAAGAAGTTTAGTAGTCAGCTCTTCAGATGCTTGCCCTAGTAGCCAAGTTAAAATAAGATGTCTCACTTAGCATACCCGTTAGATAGTATGTTGCGATTTAACTTTGGAACTCCTGATGGCATTCATTGATGGAATGTAGTAGCAAGCTGCAGGTGCATGTCCTTCTAGGAATTCCTGTCAGAAATAAAACACATTCTTTTGATGGCAGCAAGCAGTGCTTTTTTTAAAAAAAAAAAAAATGTATCCTTTATTTAAAAAATGCATTACTTTAGGTAATCTTGATGTTTGGAATTCTCTTGAAATTAGAAAATAATAGATAGACTAACCATGATTATTTTGGACTTCATATGTTTGTATTCATAAACCTTTATGTAGATATCTAAGTTAAAAGTTCATTTCTAACTTATAATGGGTCATCATAGGAGTTGCTGTTTCTAAGTGCAGAGTCCAGAGAGCATTGGGTAAAATTTTTGTTCCTAAAATTACTTCACAAAGTCAAGCCTCCCATCCTGGGAAATGTTCTCAACCTAGATTTAACATAAGAAAGGAAAGTCTCATTTGAAAGTTTCTAGAGCGTTTTACTCAGTCACGTGACTAGAAATGTAGCTTGAGAACTTACTGTGTTCCACACATGCTAAAATCCAACTGTTAACCAGCTTGTCACTCCATGGGAGGGGTCCACTTGGTTGCTTCTGAGCAGATCTCACATAAATTCTCCCTGGCACATTTACATTCTTAATCCTGGTTTGACTGGGCCTGTTGGGAAGGTGTTTTAATTATCTGAGCACAGATTAGTTTCTTCGAAAGTGTTCCTCCTCCTCCTCCTCCACGCTGATGCTCGAGCCCTCAGTGGATAGAGTGAGTGCCATGGCTAGAGTAATTGCTGGCGGTCTCCCACCGAGTGATGAGCCGTCGTGACTCTGGGATCCTAGGGTCCAAGGTAAAGGGCACGGTTTGAGATTTTTTCCTTCTGTAATAGTCTCTTAGTTAGGGACATTTTTTTCTTTGAGTCAGGGTCTCACTCTGTTGCCCAGACTAGATGCCGTGTGGCATGTTCATGGCCACTGCAGCCTCGACCTGCTACATAGACTCAGGCAAGTAGCTGGAACTATAGGCGTGCACCACCACGACCAGTGAGTTTTTTGATTTAGTGTAGAGACGAGGTCTCGCCATGTTACCCAAGCTGTTCTCCAACCCTGGGCTCAGGTAATCCTCTCGCCTCAGCCTCCCAAAGTGCTGGGAGTACAGGCGTGAACCACGGTGCCTGACTGGGACTTACTTTCTAAGAGTGATATATTCAGTTTGTTATAAGTCAGAGCTACTGCCACAAGCCTCCTTTAATGGCCGTATTTTTAAGCGTAGGCCCACTTATGTTAAGCAGCATTTAAGTTATCTTTTCTTAAAAGATCTGCTGATGTCGGTTATAGTGGGGCATCTTGCATTAGGCTCTTCAGTATCTGTTTCTACTGAGACAGTGGTTTTTATGTTGATCATGATATATTTTTTTTTTTTTGGGAAAGCGGTAGAAGTGAGCAGTTTTGGTGCAGAGGCTGAGGCTTGAGGGTTGCCAGAGCTCAGGAGTTTGAGGCCAACTTGGGCAGCACAGCGAGATCACATCTCTTAAAAAAAAAAAAGAACAAACCTATTCCTTTTAAAATTCTTTGCCTAATCTCCACATGTGGCTATTTTTTTTTTTTTTTGAGTTGGAATCTCACTCTGTCACCTAGACTAGAGTGAGGTGGCCGCTCCCGGCCACTACAGCCTCGACCTGCAGGGCTCCGGCAATACTTCCACCTCAGCCTTCCAAGTAGCTGGAACTACAGGCACGCGCTACCACGCCCAGCTAATGTTTTATTTATTTTAGAGATGAGGTCTCACCAAGTTACCCAGGCAGGTCTCGAACCCTTGGGCTCAGGCAATCCACTCACCTCGGCCTCCCAAAGTGCTGGGATTACAGGCTGAGCTACTAAGCCCAGCCGGCTTTTTTTTTTTTTTAATCTCAGGTTCATTTGTTTCACATGCTCACATTTCTGGCCCATGTGCCCTCTCATCAAGTCTGCCTAATAAATGGCAGCTAAATTTTATAGAACCAGAAATGAAATTAGGAAGACTGATCAACTATAAAAGAAGACTAGGAGTCACATGTAAGGCAATTTGTTTGTTAAATACTTGCCAGGGTTTGCCTATCATTTGATTTTGATTTTGATTTTTAAAATTTTTGTATATTTGGGGGTTACAAGGTTAGGTTCTTACATGCATGTATTGCATAGTGAAGTCCGAGTTTAAGAACACTCGTCACTGAACAGTGAACATTGCTCCCAGTGGGTAGCTTTTCAACACTCACCATCCCCTGTCGTCGTTTCCGGGGTGTGCTCCACTCAGTACATCCATGTGTAGCTGTTACGTAGCTCCTACTTGTGAGAACATGCAGTATTTGACTTTCTATTTCTAAGTTATTTCTTTTAGGGTAGTAGCCTTCAGGTCCCTCCATGTTGCTGCAAAAGACATAATTTCATCCTTTTAGTAGCTGATTGTATTCCATTGTGTGTGTGTATGTACATGCACTTGGTTAATTTGATAGGGATTATGTCAAATCTGTAGATTGCTTTGGGCAATGTGGTCATTTTAATGATACTGATTCTTCTAATCCGTGAACATGAGACATTTTTCCATTTGTTTATGTGTTCTATGACTTCATTCACACACACACACACACACACACACACACACACACACACACTTTCCTGATCCAGCCTTCCACTGACAGACACGTGGGTGACTCCGTGTCTTTGCTATTGTTAATAAACTGCCATAAACATACGAGTGCAGGTGTCTTTATGATAGTGATGATTTCTCTACCTTTGGGCATATACCCATCAGTGAGGTTGCTGGATGGAATGGTAGTTCTATTTTTACTTCTTTGAGAAATCTCCATAGTGTTTTCTATGAAGGTCGTGCTAATTTACATTCCCACCAACAGTGTGCAAGCATTCCCTTTCTCTGCCTCCTTGCCAACATGTGTAGCTTTTTGACTTTTAATAATAGCCATTCTGAATGGTGCAAGATGGTATCTCATGGTTTTATTTGCATTTCTCTAATGGTTAGTGATGATGAGCATTTTTTTCAGATGTTGGCTGCTTGTGTATCTTTTAAAACATGTTTGTCTGCTCATGTCCTTTGCCCACTTTTTTTTTTTTTTGAGTTGGA